GATTTTTATTATCCATTTCTTAAACTTTCGCTATTAGTTACACATTGAAAACTTTTTTTTCAAACAATCTAACGTTACGGGCGTTTTCAGGTCCCATGGTCACGGCTAACAATTATTTATTATTCGTGGACGGTCTGTCTGTACAAGCGAGTAGACCTACTCTTGTCGGAGATTTAGTCTAGACTGTCCTCGTCGTCTTTTATTTAAAAGAATGTCGGTCTAATGAGCGTCTTTGTGGGTAGTCAGTCCGTGGTTATCCACAGAGGCTGGATACGACAATTGGTTTTGTTTCTTTCCCTAAAATATTATCTTTTTAATTAAGTAACAGTTTTTTATTATGCATATCTGTTGTTGAGTCTATTATATTGTACAATTTACCTTGATAACACTCTTGTGGAATTTAGTACTTAGGACATTGGCATTCTCGTCAATTTCCCACACGCACGAAAAAGCTAATCTCTCCTCACCGCCGCGAAGCGAGCAGAGGTTAGAGCTCAGAAGTTCTGAAACAACAGGATTGACGATTTATACTAAGAAAGCAGCGGGACGTCGCGAAGCCTGTCAGCAGGTAATAAAAAACTGCTTATAAATTCTAAACGTTGAAATGTCAGTTTTAAAAAACCGTGCTTAAAAAGAACTTTTCACTTAACCGCTTTTTTTGTATAAAACTTGGAAAATATTTAAGACATATGCATTATAATTTTTAATTTTATTAAATTTCACGATGTTTTACAGCGGTGATACTCAATTTTTTTTTAGCATTTCGATCTTTGTTACAATAATTTATAACAAACAAAAAAATTGGAGTAATTTCACAATGATAATTGAATATATAATATATTATATACTGTACATTATAATGTGCAGAAAATCTCAGTGCATTACCAGTTAAAACTTCACATATTTACTGACTCATTATAGATATATCTATTGATAAATTTCAAAACGTTTCATGTAGCATTTTTTGTTGGAAGGTTTAAGAAAAAGTAGCCACTCCCACATAATTTGAAAAAATTAAGGCGTTTATCACAATATTCTCGTGCTACACTAAAATGACCTTTGTTAAATAATAATAAGCACCAATCACTCTCATCAACACAACCGAACCAGAAAACTTTCCGGTTCCGAATATCCGACATTGATTCCAGTTCAAGGAAAATCTTTGTCGTAATAATAATTAATAACGCACACAATCAAAGCAGGCACTAGGGAAGCCCTGTATCGCCGGTGCCATGGAGACACTTTACACAACCACAAATTACATCTAATCTCACGAGATAAATAAATGTAGGCAATACAAATATTCCTCCCGACCCGGGAATCGAACCCGGGACAGTCCAGCATGGTAACCGTTCGGCCGCGAAGGCAGTTGCTAAATATGATATTTTCATACCAGCATCGCGGATTGGTATCTTGATTATGGAGTATGATTATGAAATAGAAATGAAATGCTGAACAATTCTAAATTTGAGGCACTCTTGTTCAAACTATTACAAACAAAACAATAAGCGCGTGTACAATTTGATATAATTTTCAAACACAGAGTGACCGCTTAACTTCTATAACAAAGTGAATTTGGTTTATTGCAGTGCCACTCGGAGTTTTAAATCGCAAAGATTTTAGGGGCACTGCCACTGCGCCCGTCACCCTGTGACATAAGTCGACAACTCCTATGTGCCTGTAATTTCACCAGCACCTTCCAAACCGGAAAGCAGTAATGTTCACATTACTGCTTGGCTCCCGGGACGAAATCTTTCACAAGCTCTACTGCTACTAAACTACATAACTAGACTAACCTGGCACCATATCGATCCTCTTATCAACCAAATACACGGTCGTCGATCGGTTTGCGGCTTCCTTGTCCAATGCGGTGTTAGGCCTTACGAAGTGCGTGACGTCAGCAATGTGTACCCCCACTTCGAACTTGTTCAATCCCTCGGGCGTGGTGCCGGCGATGGGCCGCGCATGTAGCGCGTCGTCGATGTCTGTACAGCCCGGTGGGTCGACTGAGCACACGCATAAAGACCGGAGGTCCACTCGCTTTTTTACTTCCTGAACAAATAAATTCAAACAGTAGATATTAGACAAAGTTCATAATGACCGTTTAATGTGGCTCCGGAAGCTTAAAGAGAACCGACTCCGATGGTACGGTCATAGAATACAAGATATTTATTTGCTGAAAAATGTAGTTAACAATGCAAGTCTTATAGTATATTACGTGTATTAGATCGCATATTTCACCAAAACTTGTCATTGGAATATTTTACACAATTCTTATTCCACTTTTGATGTAGCGTGCTTTAATGTTAAATTTATACAATAACATAAATAAACAACAACAATTGGAATTTAAGCAGGAAATAGGAACACACAATAGTTTAATTTTACATTAAAAAAACATCAATATTGTGGTAGCATTGAGTAACTAACAAATTAATCAATTTCATTTTAAATTGTCATTATATATTTATTATTATTCTTTAACAGCATCCGGTAATTTATTAAATAATTTGGATGCTAATAAAAACATTGTTCTACTGTAAAAGTCCAAATTAGGGTGTTGTTTGTGCCGTATTTCTACTTTATTCCTTGTGTTTCTAGGGGTAACCTATGACAAACTCAAATTTTTTTTCGTTTGTTCGAATTTTTATTACACCGAAAATCGAATTATAACGAAACGGTTGTTCTTTCAGGATATGTTAGATATTTATCGCAAAGACACGATTAGGTTCGGTTAGTTTAGATTAAGTTAGGTTTAAAAGAAAAAACATTTTCGTCTCATAATTACTTTCGAGGTTATGAAAATTCGAGCAAACATTATTTCTTTAAAATGTCATTTCGAACTACTGATAGGTAACCGTTTCTAGGATATCTAGTTTTGATTATATTAAAGTCGCCTAGATTTTGTTTCACATAAACACAGGCCTCGTAAATATAAATCGATGGTAGGGTTTAATATCTTCAGTTTCTTACAGTTCTCTAGAAACAACTCTCTCTTTCTCTCATTAAACAGGAGAGAAGAGAGTTACTCAGTAAAGATAGTATTAAACTTCCCCACAAAACCCCATGGATGAGGAAGACCCCAGGTTACTTGGTGGAAAAATATCGAGAAAGATCTTAACGCCCTGAATATCTGGGTTCATATTATATATATAATGTAATATGAACCCAGGACAGAGCGTCCTAACGCCGAGGTACATGCCAGCACATCAAACACATTGACGTATCTTGTTCCGTTGCATTGGAGGCGATTTTCGAACAAAAATGTGTAGTCTGATGTACCGTTGTCCGTACAAGGAGTCCCGACCAGATAAATGGGAAAAGGGCAGGAAGAAGATTGACTATCCATGTTCCACTATCATGATATTACTTTTTTTATGTGAAATGACTCCATTAGTTTGTTATAATTATTAATACATTAATATAACAAGCCACGGTATGCTGAAGGCGCTGGGTCTGCTCTTCTTGTCATAAACAACGCATTTGCATTTTAGTAACTTTCTAGATACTGGCACCGAAAGTGTTGTTTTTTTTCAAAAATATTAATTCCGCTGATTTTACTTAACATTAAAACTAAAAAAAAAAAAAAAAAAAAAAAAACTGTTTTTAGACCTCGCTTCGCTGATTTCAGACAATGTTATAACTCAATAAAATTGGCAGATTTTACCTCCATCTGACCTGATGGAAAGTGACGATAAGGTCGACGATGTAACATGCACCTAGATAATGCCTATTCACTCTCGCCTTGAAAAGGACCAAATTATAGCGTTCGGCTAATAAGTCTAATTACTACTGCTTCACTTGGCACTGTATAAAAAATAGGAAGTTTTGTATTTTCATTTTCCAATTTAAAAACTGGAATTTCCTTTAAACAAATTACTTTTATATTTAATTGTACCACTACATATAGATAAAATATGACAGTGGTCAGCCTATCCGGCCGGATCCAGCCGGATCGAAAGAATTTTCTTAGTGTTCGATTATTTTTTCAAATCCAAAATTTTTACAAACAAACTGCTTTTTTCGGATAACCAAAAATAAATAAAGTACTTAAATTAGTTACTTTTGTAACTACAGAAACTACGGAACTGAAACTGCAGCCCTCTCGTTGTGAGAGAAGGCTTTTGCCCAGCAGTGGAACTACATATAGGGTCGTATTCTAGAACACTACTCAATGCTCAAGTCAGGATTGCACTGAAAACACAAGCACTGGAAATACGACCCTAATGGCAGGGACTTGAGTACGATTTCGAGTGCTTTAAACCACACTCACATCCTGACTTGAGCATTGAGTAGAGTTCTAGAATACGACCCTTAGACTATCAATTATTATCATAGTAACTATAGTTCGGAATAAGGTTGTGACTTTACCACGCTCAACATTCAATAGGTACTTTATTGCTTTTCCATAATGTTAGCCGTGACCATGTAATCTTTAAATGGCACGAACATTGGTTTCTTTGAAAAAAACAAATGTATGTAATTTAAATCCGAAAGAATAGATTCAATTCCAATCCAAAAAAAGTCGTATAATTTCCAATGTGGAGTAATTGCGAAAATCTCGATAATTTAATAGTAATTAAAATTAAAAAATAAACAAGCTTAAAGAAGTTTCGTGTCATTACGATTATTATATGTTAATTTAAGATCAGAAAGTCATAATGTTGACATGAAATATGAGAAAACAAGTCACCTCCTCCGGAATGGTCCAGTCGTCTGGTGGCAGGCAAGCGAGGACGGCTTCGCTAAAGCGCGCATGTGGCACGTCGTGCTCTAGCAGAATCACTTCATTCTCAGCATCTTTGTCACCTACACAAAAATAAGTATGGCTAGATATCACCAAACTTTTTTACATGAAATTTATTTTCGTCAACTTCAAATGTGTTTTTGACAGCTGACACAGTGCTATTTTAATAAGTTTAACTGTTTAGTGAAAAACTGTTAATATGTTTACTTTGTATGTAATTTATATGTATATTATGTAAGTATAGTCAAGAGCACATCAAGCTATATACTTTTGTTCGTATACGTAGCTTGATGTACTGCCGTCTGTACATAGATATTATGTGGATTATTCTATTTATGGAAATCCATAATGTTGGTCACATTGACCCCGTTTATAGGCCACGTCAATGTTTTATTCCCAGATATGGACTCCTGGATATTGGAATCACCAATATAGATCAATTCTAAAAAAAATTGTGTTCCCTATAAAGAAATACCACATTATCTAAAACTTAGTTTCCCAAAGTGTCGTGTCCCCACCGCTAAAGAGTCGTAGGAGGCGGAAGGGGCCTCGGAAGCAATAGGGGCGCGTTCATGCCGTCCAGGAGGCGCTACCGCATTTGAAAAAAAAAATCCTGAAGTATATATATAAACTACACTACACATATACTTTTTTTTTTTTTTTCGATGTGAATTTTTTGTGTTAAGTTAATATAAAAAATATATATTCTTTGTAGTGGTGGGCGTTGAAATTTTTTAATCTTGCCTAGTGAGCCAATAAGTTTGGGAACCTATGATCTAAAAGATGAACTTCTTAGCTAATTTACGTAAACTTGTTTTAAAATTACACACGAAAAAATTACATTCACTTCCACGTACCTATAGGTCCTAAAGCCCTGACAAAATGCCCGAGCGGATACCGGCTGTTCCTAGGCCAAGAGTCCAAAGCCACCAAAATCCTCTGCGTAGCGAGCTTGTCGCTCTGGCGCGTCTCTATGCGTACGCGCGGTATCCGTTTCTCCGCTGGCACGAATAAATGACGGACTGCCCCTAAGAACAAACAGTTTTCACTACACCAAGCACTATTTCCTCTAACCATTTCAAACTTTTATTAATTTCGAAATCTTTACTTATTTATTTTGGGATTCTATTAATAAATCACGGCGAACGTCACTATGATCACTGAACACACAAGGTGAATGTCAGCATCGTGTGCATTGCAAGGTCTTTCCGTCATAGTATCAATAGCATCCAATCAGATATGTTGACGTTTTTTAATACGATGCCAAGATTTGCACTGACAAATTTGTAGTTAATTTATTATGTAATTCTACAGAGAGCTATTTACACAAAAACTTCTTACATTTTAAAGTTGCATGTGTCAGAAGTCTTAATTTAAATACAACCAGTTCCTATCATGTTAAAATTGGTGTTCCACAGGGCGAATACTTGGGCCTTTATTTATTTTAGCGAATTGTATCTCAATCATATTTAATACTGTAAAAGAAATAACCTTATAATCTACTTACCAGGTAAATTACTAGGTGCCAAAATACCACAGTACTGCCTCCATTTTCTCCTAATGATCCCAACTACTTTTCCAGTTGGCGTAATATCTTCATCGCTAGTCTTATTTTTAACGGCTTCCAGAAGCACCGACTCCTCTTCAAGCTTATCTCCAGGGTCATCAGCCTTGTCTTCGAGGACAATGTCACTGGGTCTACGCCATTCTTCTTCAGGGAAAATTTCAATGGCCACTAAATCACCATCTACAGCTCTATTTATGCCTACATGACCTTGTAGTAGGATCTGAAAGACACTAAGGTTTAGTTTTTTGTGCAGGTAAAGTTAAGTTTATTGTAATTTCTACTTTTTAACTAAACTACAATTTTTTAAATTATTCTATTCAGTAACATAAAAGAAAACAATAAATAAACAACTTACAGATCGTTCAAAGCCATTAACATTAGCAGTGCCTTCTAAGAAATTGTCTCTAGATGCATAGAATGTCCCCTGATATAACTTCCCGTTTCTGATTCCGTCATGAATCTGTGCAGGAGTGAGATGCGCAGGGTACAGAGCATCTTTTGAGTAGCTCTCTGGCATCACATTCTTTGATAACTTGTCAATTAGACCTACAAATCCTGTCACATTTTCTATGTAGTCTTTTACTGTAAGAAAAAGAAAAAATATGTAGACAACGTTTTGGAGTTGGATACTGAAGGAAAGAACCTAAGCATACTAAAGAGGTCTGTTTAATGGAGCCTATGGTTCACTACAATAGGTTATTTCTAGTAGTAGCCAATAAAGTCAATAAAGGTGATGGCGCAATATAAGCAGCAGTAGAGCACCTTGTGAAGGAGTTCGCCCAGGGAAATACTGCCATGCCACATTATCTATTTTTGCTGCCAAGCAGTAATGTGAGCTGGGGGCCTACTATGAGCTCTTAGAGCAATTGTATTTCTAGGTATAACGTTAGATGCTAAATTGCAATGGGGTCCCCATATAAGTAAGTTATCAAAACGGCTCGGCTCTGCAGTGTACGCGATTAAAAAAATAAGGAAACTTTCAGACGTCGAAACCGCTAGATTGGTTTACTTCAGCTACTTTCACAGTCTAATGACATACGGCATTTTGCTTTGGGGTAATGCCGCCGATATCAACAGAATCTTTGTCCTGCAGAAACGTGCAGTTAGAGCAATTTACAATCTGGGCCCCAAAGTATCTTTGAGAGATAAGTTTAAGGAAATTAACATTCTTACACTAGCCTCACAGTACATTTATGAGAATGTAATTTATGTTAAAAGGAATAGTAATTTATTTATGAAAAATAGTGACAGACATAACATTAATACGAGGAATAGAAATAAACTAGCTTTTCTTGATAGTCGTCTTCACAAAGTCAAAAAATCATTTAAGGGGCAATGTATACGCTTCTATAACAAGATTCCGGTTGATATACAAAATTTGCCTTTCACGAGGTTTAAAACTATAGTGAAACAAAAACTTTATACTAAAGGTTATTATACAACTTCTGCGTACTTGGATGACAAAAATCCGTGGTAGTAACCCGTTTAGCTCATGGAGGTAGTCTCTATCTCTGATGTTTCAAATAAAAAAAATAAATATTGTAAATGTTATTTACAAAGAGCAACCCCTAGAGTTTCTTGCTCATTCTTCTCAGGGGAATCTGCCTTACGAATGAGCGGTAGTTTAATATTGTGACGACTTCAAGTGTAATAATGCTTACCTATGAAATAAAGATTATTTTGAATTTGAATTTGAATTTGAATCCTATTAAAGCCTGTAAGTTGGATCGCCTGGCAAATTCATACTATGACCACACAAAAACAATTCACTGTCCATGCAGTTTACGTTCCCCATTCGATATCCGTTCGCCTTTTCTTTCATAGCAAAATCGTATCACGACGTGCTATTTGCCATGCAAGTGGCGGCCTCATCTTTAAAAATAAGCAATTCAAAAAAAGTTACTCCGTCACTAACTTTTTTTAGATTTTGTTACATTTAAAAAAATTTCGTTTAAGTTTTATTATATTTTCAGCTTCATAATAATTTGTTATCTTTATAGGATAAATAAATATTATTAACTAATGAGCATTGTTTGAAAATTTTAGTTCCAGTTTCCCATCTTTAAAGTGTTGTTGACAAATTATTCGCACGAATGTAATTGCAATTTTTAAATGGAATTTTAATAATTTTATTAACCTAAAATCGTAAAATAAAAAAATAATTAAATAGTGCCAAATTCAATAATAAAATTAATAAAAAAAATTAATTATTCTCACTTTCAACACAATCAGTTAATAGTGCTTGAACGCTCCCATGATAGTACATCTGTCTATTTCTTTCATATGATTTAGTATGTACTTCCATCTCGCTCTTGTTAGAAGTCAGCTAGCCAGCCAGAGACAATAATTAACGTTTAAAAAGTAAAACTCACCATCCTGTCATGCCATTCCCGTTCAACTTTGTGTAGGTCATGATACGAATTTAAGCAATTCAGTTTTACCACGTCAAGTGAATTGCAAGGAACTTCGCTGGCTGGCTTATAAGCTCATAGTAGGCCCCCTGTACTGCCTTTCGGTTTTGAAGGGTAAGGGTGCTGGTGCAATTACAAGCACAACTCAACTTATGTCTCAGGATGACAAGCACAGTGGCAGTACCCCTCAAATCTTTCAGATTCAAAGCTCCAAGTTTGAAGCCCCATCACATGGTTTCACAAAAAAAGTAAAAATAAAACCAGCAGAAAGGTGGAGTGACAAATAATTGCATAAAGCTTAATTATACACTTTGATTCTTCCTGTAAGAAAGATTAAAAATCGAAATCTTACCAGAACAGCACACAATCCCCTCTTCTTGAGCAATTTTGCGATTATTCTCATCATCTGTCAATAGCACAATCTGAGGGAACTGTCCGGCCACATTATTGGCAGAGAGATGCATGGCATACCATGCTGCTGCTCTGCGTATAGCTCTGTCATTCCTGTCATTTGGTTTTTCACCTGGCTTTCGCTCTACATAAGTGTCCCTGCAAATGTTATCATGTACAGAAGTTACAAATTAACAAAGTAGTACATATTACATTCAAGTTTTTAGAAAAGTATTTTTGGTAAGGTCAATAACTCACACATATTATTGACCAATTACTTTCAACTTGGACATTGATACAATAGTCAGCGAGCCTTTAAAAACCTGGGTTTTATCAATCGCATTACCAAACCATTCCGCACGCAAAATAGGCGCCTTGTCGTCGAGTTGCGGACACCAGCCCGTTACACCAAGTACCAAGTACCAAACCATTTAAAGAAATTACATTTAAAATTTTATATTATTCATTTGTCCATTCTCGATTTTGGAAGCATGGTTTGGAACCCATTGTACAAATGTACTATCGATCCAATAGAAAGAGTCCAACGGAAATTCGTCAATATTCTTAATTTTCGTACTAATTGTCCAATTGAACCATATGAATACTCTCTTAGGCGTAATAAATTACTTACCTTACAAAATCGCCGTAAGAAATCTGACATAGTTTTTCTCTACAAAATACTTAACAATATGGTTGATTCACCAACTCTGTTGTCACAGGTTAACTTTATAAATAAAGCTCGTTTACCAGCATGCCCCCAACGTAAAATAAAAATATTTCGCACCACCACGGCTCCGTAAGAATTATACGAAAAACAGTCATTTTCATTGTTCGTTATCTTTATACAATAATACATTTTATGAAATGGATATCTTTGGTATCTCATTGAACAGATTTAAGGTCAGAATCCACAACAAATTATTTAGTAGTACTGATACAGCTTAGCGGTCTAGTGAGGACAGTCTTCTTACGAAGCCTGTAGTTACAGGTTCACATCCTGGTTAATTAGTGTTGTTTTAATTTTCATTATTTCTAAGTAGTAATAATATGTTTAAGCACGTATAAGCTTGACCATTTGCTTTTGCTTCAAAAATGCGTTAAGTTTGTTATTCTACTTATATATTTAAGCCCTTTTCGCCTATCTTATTAATATTTAAGTTTAATATTCGGTACTCATTGTCTGTAGCATAGTTCAAATTTTTTTATCTTTATTAACTCATATTGTAATGACTGTTTGTACCAAAATAAAAAAAAATTATTAATTTTTTAACCTATAGTCTTCACAATGTAAGAGACCAAATTTGACAGCTAAAGAACAATAGTATGTAACTTTGAATGCTCTCAACGGAACAGTAAACAAACAATCATTAACTTATTGGGTTTTTTAAAATATATTCATTTCAGAGAAACATTTATAATATGATAGAACATACTTATT